AGGGGAGGGTGAGGGCGATGGCGGGGGGGCGGGTGGCGGCGCTGCCCCTCAGCTCTTCCCCCCGGGGGGCAGCACGGAACAGGAGGGCTGGGGGGGCTCCTAAGAGGCTGCCCCATCCACCCTCCCCGGCTCCGCTCCGGGGGTGCTTTCGGGGAGGGCTGGGAGAGCTGCGAGAGCTGTCACCGCGGGCCTCGGGCCCAGGCCGCGGAAAGGGCGGGGGTCGGGGCCTGAGGAGCAACGCCGCTCTTCAGTCAGCGCTCCGAGGAGCACCCCGCGGGGGCCCACAGCCCACCCGCGGGGTTGGAAAGGCCCCTGATAACTAGCCTGGCTCTGCCTGTTCATGGTGGCTGCCAGGCGGCCTGCCCTGCGTGGTTGGCAAAGGCACCTTGCTCCCGCGGCGCTGCACATACCCGGGCCAGGCAGCCGGCAGCGGCCCGTAATAGCTGCCTTCATGCTTGGCCTTGGGCCATTTTAAAACCTAGAATGGCTTGCCTGGTTTTCCCCTTCTCCACATGGCGTACATGAAGTTGCACGCTGGCTCAGAGCTCCTTTTGGCAGGCAAATGGTTAAACACTTGGTACTTATGTGCTCATATATAAGGGATGAAAAGGGAGGGGGTGGGATGCTTTCTAGCACTATTCAAGCAACAGATTGCTGTTTTCTTTCCAGGAGCAATGGCAGTTGGGCTGTGCAGCCAAGGGGGGGTGTTTTACTTTGCTGAGGAGGGGGGTCTGGCTGCTGCTGTCATGTGTAGACCCTTCTCCATCCTTCCCCACATTCAGACCCGGTGAGCACATCCAGCAAGAGGCTCAGCAGCGATGCAGATGCTGAGGTGGGTCTGTATAAACCCCGTCAGCGGAGCTGGTAACAGCCACAGTTAACACTCATCACAGGACCGCGGTGCACGCGTGTGAGCCAAGCCAATTGATGACTCAGTCCTTTCACTACCGACGTGGAGGGTTTGTGGCTTTTTTTATAGTCGTCTGAGTTTGTGGGTAAGAAATAATGCAACACAGTGGACAACATCCAGTAAATAACGAGGTCTTCCCAGATGGACTTTAGGCCAAGTAAAATAATGCAACTGGGCCAGATGACTTAAATTTTTCCGGCTATAAATTGTAGCAATTCACCAGCTGTACGCAGTAAAATACAAGTGAAGGGGTCTCCCTTGAGATCTGGTGTTTAAACCTGTGGAAATAACAGCTCTCTTCAAAACATACAGCCCAAACCAAAAGATAACGTAATGTAAGAATGCTGTGGAAGTGAAAAAGAGATGGACAACAGGTGACAGTTACTTAGACAATTTTATTTATATCCCCACTCCCCAGAAATGGGGTTCTGTAGCTCTATTCCTTGTGTAAGGACTTTTTCAGGTTTCCCACACCATGCAGGAAGGAATTATGTTTGCTCCGTAATAATAAAATCTGTCCACAAAAGCTGTAAACATTATTTTGAGTCTTTTGTTATTGTCTCCTTCAAACACACACGCAATAATTGTATCAAAGAATTTCTAGGTGATCTTTAATGTCCTTTAATGTCTAGGTGACATTTTTTTTTTCTTTTTTTTTTTTTAAGCAAAAATACCTTGATGTGAATGGTTTTTTTTTGTGACTGATATCTGACAGAATCATCGCATTCCCATACTCCCAGCCCCTACGGAGCCCCTTGCTTCGAAAGTTTCTGAAACATGCCCTGTTATGATCCTGCAGGGATATTAAACCTTTGCAAGGTCCGGTTCTTGGTCTGAGGCTGCCCTGCTCTTACACCTTAAGCAACACAAAACCTCTGCAGCGTCTCATCCGACCACGTTTCCACACCCGTGCTGTTTGGAGAACACCTGCTCGCCTCGCAGCACCGGGCGGGTGGAGCGTGAAGGTCGGGGGGTGCGTTTTTCTCTCCCGCTCGTGTCTTTGTGTTTGGCCCGTAGCGTTGAGCATGAGTTGAAAGTAATGCTGCAATCTGTTCAGACCTGCCAGCTCATTTTAATAGTCTCGCTCAAATGCACAGTATCTCCTTAGCCCGCTTGGCTTTGTGAGTGTGGAGGTGAGCAGGTCCTATTTTATCATTAAGACTCCTTCAAGTAATGCTTTCTTTTGGCTCACAAATAAATCAAGGACAGCAGTAAAACAAGAAAGGAGAATAAATCTTCTGATTGATTGTAGATAGAGCAGGTTCTTTCAGCTCTTTGCTTTCTACGCTTCAGTTCAGTAATGGCACGTAGCTTTTTTTTTTTGCACTTTCCTAGCAAGCTGTCCACGCTTTCATTCCAAATCGTGCACGTGACGTCCAGCAGCGGTGAGGGTCCCACACAACTGACCCCATGCGGTATTTCTCAGGGCTATCAGTCACTAGTAAATCCAGGCTATTTCACAGAGATTTGTCATTTTCCTTCTGAGATATTCTGAAGGATTTTGATCAGATTCTCCAGGCCAAAAATATAGCCGTGGTCTGGCCCATCGTAAGTGGTGTGGTTGCATTTGGAGCCTTTAAAAGTGGTGTGGGCAAAGTCTATCATCCGGACGTCAACTCTGGAGTGGTTGGTGCTGTGTGACGCGGTGCGGTTTGTTTTTTGGAAGTGAAGGTGATTATCCAAGGGTGCCGTGTTCTCTTTGTGCTCCTGTCCGTCATAAATGATGAGAAGTGAGCTGGAGTAGAACCTGTAAGAGCTTTGCTTCCTAATGACAGAAAGCAGAGCTTTCAGCCGCAGGATGATGGGCTCCAGGAGGTCTGTTCGGAGGTGGTTACCGTTGCACAGGAACTGGTACAAGGTTTGCCTGAATCCCTCCGGTGAGAGTTTCCTGCCGTAATACTTATCTTTGCAGAGAAAATGGCCACTGTCCACTTGGTAAACCTGGAGGAAAGAGAGCAACAATCCTGACTGAGCAGTTCAGTTTTCCCAAAGCTCTAGATTTCACCCTAATCTAAAAAGTTTAGACCTAAGCTGAGGATCGGGATGCAGATCCTCTGCAGTCTGGCAATATCTAGCAATGCTGGCAGTGTCCCGCAGGCTTCTTACTGAATCCCACCTCCTGTCTTTTCTGGAGATTTAAAGTATTCAATTTAAACCACTGGTGCAGATTCTTGCTGTACTGCTATAAATCACCCCTTTGTGAAGCCCAAAAAGCTGTAAGTCATAGCCGTGTCACTGGTGATTTACAGCATTTTCCCTCTGGCTCTGGTGGGGGTTTGCAGGAGTAGAGGAATACCCCAGCTCTGTACCTTCTCGCGATACGTAATGCACAGGTAGCAATAATCTTGCTTAAACACAGAGAGACAAGATGTAGACAGAAGTTTGAATGTGAGGCTCTGGAAACACTGAGTAAGAAATGAGGGAGTGAGTTTAGAATTAGCTCACACACCGGTTGTAATTTAAAGGATAATCTGCTCAACAGAAGGATGTCAGAGCCCAGAAAGGGACACGGGGTTTGACACCGAGTGTTTACGCTGCTATATATGTGCTTTATAATCATCATTCTCATAATTACCCTTCAGGCACAGCAGAATAACATTTTGAAACCTGCTTGAGAAGTGTGAGTGAAACAAATGCGTGGTTTCAGTTTCTAGGAGGAAGGGCAGCGATTTTGAGCAGGAGCAACCATCATATTTAGCACAAAATAAACCCCTCGTTCTTGTGACGACAGGATGAGACAGTTCTGTGAAGGCACAAGCAAGGCAATGGGATACTTTTATGGGTTTTGTGTAGCAGCCAAGAGCTGAGCATGAGAGGGGAATCTGTGTTCATGTACAGGCAGATTCTCAGCTGGAGTAGACTGGTTCTAGCTGCTCGTACTGATGGCTGTGGTGCAGGCTGGTGCATGTGCAGCCACCACTTGTGAAAGCAACCAAATCTCCAGAAGCTGAAGAGGGGCACAGAGAAAGGATTATCCTGCGTGTGCCATATTCTGTACTCGTCCCTAAGCATCCTCTCCTGTTTGAGGACAGGACACACAGCTCTTACAACCAGTTCTTACAGCCGGTATTTGGAGAGAGACGAGAATAACACTGCTTCAATTTACACCAAGAAAAAGCCCCTTTAGTCTTCCAGCTTGGTTTCAAGGTGCGTGTCGGGCAGAGACCAAGAGGACAGAGGCTTCCTCTTACCTGCATCCCACAGATGCGAACGCCCAGAGACGCAGAGGTGCTTTGTTCACATTTCTTGATGTGCCGGGCTTTCTTCTCCTCCGAGGCGTCATCGCCATGCTGCCGGGTTCCCATCTTCAAGTCCAGGATACAGGGGTAGTTGTATTTTGATACCACGTTTTCAAGCAATAGAAACTCTGAACATGAGTTAAGGGAAACATGATACTTTTAAATTCTAATTGAAAGAGGTCTTAAATCAGAGCAACTGCTGACTCGCTCCGTAATAGCTCACAACTCTAATGAGACTTTCTGAGCCAATTTTACCAACGTGTCATTGCTATAGGCCCCTTGCTGCCAATTTCAGTTAATTTACTGTAGTACAGTCCTACCAATTAAAGCACCAACAGCTCCATTCTCCAGCGACACGATAGCCCTGGGCTGTCAATCCGACACCTTGCCTCAGTGCCATGCTCACTCCAGTGGGTGTGGGGGAAGTTGTTAAACTGTATTACTCACATGACTGGTGGGTAATGAAGTGTAATAGGAAAATAAAAGGCGAGGCAGCTGCTAATTCCTATATAGTTGTGGTTTTAAATGTATGCCATGGGGATCATTGACTTATGTTGAATACCCTTTATGGGAAGTGGGTTTTTTTTCTTTTTCTTCTTATTTTTTTTTTTTAATAAACAGTGGGAGAAGATAGCAAAGCAACTATATGCTGTATTTTCCCAAAGACTGGGCAGAGGAGGGCTGTGTACCCCTGCAATAAAACATACATTGATTACAAGCTGCTATTTGTAGCCAAGACTATGCTGGAGGGGAGAGAGGAAAAAGGATACGGTGAAGTTTGTTCTCGTTATGCTTGGAGGACATGCGGTTCAGGTGCTGCCTGTGACAGTGCAGTCCCCAGGGGTTGTAGCTGTTTCTTTCTGGCTGGTTTCCATTTGCATCTTCCAAAAGTGAATCTGTGCGGTACTGAAGGTCTGTCCTCAATAGCATCTTCCCCGGGCAGCTAGACAAAACACACAAAAGAACACGTTTGGTTTATAAACTCTGGAAGAGAATATTTCTTCCCCTCCTCTTTTGCAGAGCCTCAAACTTGATAAAGTAAATTTTTAGGGACTCTCATAGGAAGCATATTCATCATGTCCAACCTGTGGAGATCCTTTGTTACTATGTAAAAGTAATTTTCAGAAGGTCAGCTATTGCTGGGTGCCAATATTTTCTTCCATTATAATTTCAAAGTGTGCTTGGCTCCAATGAAAAGCACCGATAACCAGGAGCCTCTGTTTATCTACCTAATGGGCACAACACGGGCAAATTGTGCAACAATAGGAATGATTCCCAATTTATAGGAGCTGGCTTCGAGGAGGGGAGGGAGGAATCTATGAGGATTTGTTCTCCTAGGAGGGTCATTCCTTGGTCTTGCTCATCCAAAAACCATAACTCCCATCACACCGAAGGCAGCGATTTCACGGTAGCAATATTGCACCCTTCAGTCAGAGCTGACCTAGGTCTTTTCTGAATCAGCCGAGATGAAAGATGTCTTGCAGAAAGACTCTGCAAACCCTAAGGTCACGGTGTGCTTGCAAACACCTCACAGCTCTCCCCTGGGATGAGGACAGTGTTGAACCACCGTCGAGCGTGCAGTCGCAGCATGGCTGTTACATGCTGTGTGCCTGGTGGCTGTTCTCCGGGGGCCTCTTTTCCTTTTGGAGCATGCTGTGCTCTAAGGAAATGGGTTTAAAGCAGAGCTTGACGCCCATATTTGAGCAACAGCATCTCGGCGATAGGCAAATCTGCCCTGCTCCATCCACAAGCCGGGGAAGAGATAAACCATGAAGCCACCAGGCTGGGCTTTGTTTGCTTTTCTTCACCTTGGCTGGGCATTGCTTTTGCTCACTTTGCCTTAAACCAGGAGTTCTGTCAGCAAAACCATCCCAGTTAGACCCTACCTAAAGCAGCAGGCAAGGACCAGGAGGTTTGCAGGGGGTGTCCCAGCCATGCCAGACCCTCACCTGTCTTTGAAAGTCTTGGTGAGCTGCGTGTGACTCCACTTGACGAGCGTGTGCTCGCTGCCGGTGCCGGTGCTGGCAGCCCACTTGCATTTGTGCCATATTGTCACCGAGGAGTCACCGATGGCTTTATCCAGCCGGGTGCAGCTCTCAGTCTGCAGGCTGGGGCTGGCGATCAAGTTCAGGTTGCCAAGGCTGTCCTTTTTGAGGTGCACAGAAACGATGCCTGGACAAAAAGGGGGAAAAACAAACGAGAATGAGATTAACCCATGGGTTACCATACAGGCTTGGCCACCGTCCGCACCAGCCCAAGGTGGTCCAGCCTTCCTGAGAGGGCTGGCACTTAGCCTCTACCCACCCCGTATTTTAGTGACATCTCACACTGATCCCACTCTGATCTGAGGTTCAATAAACACCATCAGCCTGAGACCCTGGAAAACAACCAATGGCTTTTCTAATTTTCCCTCCTTTCAAGGCTCAGCTTTGAACCTGCCTCCTCTGAACATCATGTTCCTTTGTCCTCCATCCCTCCAGGCTCTGCCATATGTGACCCAGCAAAGACCTCTGCATTGCACTGGGAACTCCTGGCTTATCTATGGCAGGGGATTTAAGTCTTACTTTTTAAGACAGGGCAAAGTTGGAAACGCTTTTCATTGGCAGGAAGCAGAGGGAGGGTTAGGGACCAGGAATTTTCCAAAGACAACCAGCGTGCCAACTGCTTCCTTTAATTGGAGGGCCCCCAGGAGCAAGGGCAGAGGCATCTGTGATGCCCGTACTTTGTCATGGTCATGTCCTTCCCCAAGCACTAAGGACCAGCCTCAAACAGCCAACGAGGGGGACCAGACCCTCACATGTCCGGTTTCATGCACGAGGAGGGACGTTATCATGACTGGGCATTATTACTTTCCACCATTGTTTTATTTTAGCATTGCAATTTTCCCTGACTCAATAACAGGAATCACAGGGCTCAAATGCCATTGAGCCCATCACATATTTAGCCCAGTCTCAGCCCATTCCTGGCATGGGCACAGCTGCCTCCATGTCTCAAATGACAGAGCAGGAATGGCCATGGCTTGCGTACCAGACAGCTCTGACCTTTCTGGGAAAGTCTGATCACTGCAGTCCCGTTCCTGCAGCCCTCTGGCATTTTTAGAGCGTCGCCCTTTGGGGCTCAGAGGGGATGCCAGCAGCATGAGTCGTACCCTGCAGCTTTCAAGTCTAGCTGCAGGAAGGCAGATCCAAAAGAGGATGGTCACGGCTGTTGGACCAGCAGAACTCATCACTGGAAAAAGCCCTGTTAGCAACACGTGGAGCTGCGTTTCATCCAGCTGTCCCCAGGTACCCTCACTGGGTCTGTTGGGCACTGCAGGGAGACGGCAGCTTAACCAACAAGGGAGCTCTCTTCTCCCAAGCAAATCTGCCAAAACAAATAAATATGCAGACTCCCCTCTCTCCTTTTAAAGTGAGATTGTCGTGAGTAAACACAGACACGAGGATTTGCTCTCTCTCTCTCTCTGTGCGCAGTCCTGCCTGCTGAATTTTGCTGACTGAGGGAGGTTTTCACAGCCTGAATTACAGGAGCCCTGTGTGTCTGCACCTCCAGCCACCTCCGTTAGACTCGGGGTGCCCATCCCTCCCCGGGTCCTCCACCCCATAACCCTGCAGCTCCAGACGTATTTGGATGCATTTCCCTCCTGCCCTCTGCTCGGGTACCACAACCATTTCTGTTCCCTTTTGCTGTAAAATCAGCATTAATACAAACAGCATACCATGGCAGGCTCGGTTAAATCGGCTGATTTTGCACTGAAATGGGGGAAGAATATACACAGGCTGCTCTGCCAAGGGAGCTGGAAACCTTAATTAGGGGGTAAGTAATATTTTTAGCTACCTATCTTAGTCCTTTGCTCGTGATGACGGTGAGCATGGGGAGCTCTGTCTTTCTCAGGCTCAAACATTACCCACCTGATCTTTCACTGAGTCCCATTCGTAAAAAATCCATATTACAGATAACTGAGAGCAAAGGAAATTCCTATCAGCTCAGATGCCTGCTTTGACTTTTCAGGGGAGGTAGGCAGGAAAAAAAAGCCAGTGTATCTTTTGCCTAAATCAAAGCCTTTATATTTTTAAGAAGTCACTGTGAGGCGAATGGAGTCCTCAATTCCAAATCTAGCTCTACGCCTCAGTTATGGCGCTCTAGCAGCCTGTAACCTTAAAAACTGTCCCAATTACATATCTGCAAGTCAATGGAGCTGTGCTGATTTACATAGCGCTGACAGTCTGGCCCTAAAAACGTTATATATAGCATGAAACTAAGAGTTCTTAAGTGTCTTACACTAATATGAAAATTAAGGGGAAGATTTTCAAAGGCAAGAATGAGCAGTTAAATGGCAAAGGGATGTGATCCTCTCACTCCTTCCAGTTGAAAACTCTTGTCTTCAAAAACCTTTGTCTCAGCCTGAAAAATACTTTTGTTTCCTGATGTGCTGCCGTACGGGTTTTGCATATGTCCTCCAAGTGACCAGCATGTGCAAACCAAATCTATAACACATGGCTCCCGACCTCCTCCTTCATTGCAACAGGGAACTCTCTATCTGGGAGCAAAGGTGTATTTAGTTACTCCTCTTTGCTGGCCTTTTAGTGTCACCAAAACTGCAGTCGCCCTCCTGTCCAACACCTGTGAGGCTGCCAGTGGGTATTTACGGGTTCTGTCACCATGCTAGTGGCATCCCAGTGATCCTCAGGAGCATTTTGCTATGGAGCTCTACCCTCATGAATTTATTTTTAAATTTACAAGTGCATTTATTTACTGCTGGGTGCAATAGGAGTCTGAGCAGAACTGGGCTTGAAAACAAGTCCAGCATCCTCCTGCAAGCTCAGCTCGGGGCAGGCTGAGGGGCTGCTGGGGGAAAGCCAGTCCCAAGGTCAACCAACCTGCCTGAAGGGGTTAAGTGAGTGGTAGACATTTTTTTAACAGCCAACTTGGTGTTAGATTTGAATGATGACATCTGATCACCATTGCACATAATGTCATCATTACATAATGGTCCCTGAGCCGTCCCCGCCCCCACAGCCTAAGAATAGAGATGAGGAACATGGACACGTGTGAACGGGTGATGAAGACCTCAGAATTGTTCCCCCTGATGCTCATCCTCCCCATCACCCTCATGGGAAATGTTCCACCTCTTCAATTCGCCTGGCATTCAGGGCTGGGACGGTTATAATCAGAATTAAAAAAATGCGTGTGCCCAATGCCAAATTGGAGAAGAATTGCTGTTTAATTACCCCTCGTTGTAAAACTCACTGGGACTTGCAATAGAAGAGGAAAAAGAAGACAAAATGATATTAATAACCGGGCCACTCCTGAACTGATAAGCTGGGACTGCTCAACGTCTTTATTAGAGAGACGGAGCAGGGCCCAGCTCTCCAGCAGCAAACTCTGGCCCTGGCTAAAGGAAATTGCTTAGAAGAAGACTTGTTTTCTTTCTTAAGCATCTTTTTAATATTGTCCCATAAATCTGCAGAGGCCCCTGACTTTCTGGGAAGGGAAGAGATTGGATTGGAAGCACACCGAAACCGCAGCTGACACTTTGAGCTCTTTTCTGTAATGCTGAAGGACCAAAAGATATTTTAAGTTTTTACGTGACAGCTGAGCTTCTCGCCTCTCACAAAAATCCAGGGTCAGGAGCTTTATGAGCAGCACAAGTCTGGCAGTAAAAGCAGAAATAGTGAGGGAATAAGAAAGGGAGGAAGGGAAGATGTCTTAAAAAAAATACTCGGACCCCCACAGACACCAAGTGCTGCTTTTCAGTAGCTAAGCTGAGAAATTCAGCTGGGAAATTGCTTCAGAGTGAGGAGAGTTAGGGACAGGGAGCTGTTTGTAGAGGGGACTGGGCAGTGATAGGGGGCAGCAAGCGGAGGAACTACCAGGAGGCTCTTCCCTGTCCTGGGAAGGTCTTGCTTTTGTCAGCATGCTGCCTGGATTTAATTTTTAAGATAATTAGTCTGTACCTCTGTTTTTCCAGGGACTGGTGCTTGGGGGGAACAAGGATTGGCTCAGGTCGACCACCCAGTAAAAGTGATGCTGGGTACATCCCTGGGCTGGTTTTTCAGACTCAGTGTTTCATGGTGGCCCCGAGGATCTCTCCCCCAGCTCATGCTAGCGCCAACCCTGACCCTTTCCTTGACCGACTTCTCTGCTTCTGAAACAAACCTTCACCTCTTCTAAAACCAAGGCCTGGAGCAGTGGGGCCAGGCACCCTTAGCTCTGCTCCCGGGACAGAAAACTTTTCATATCGGGGGATGCTAATTGAAAACTCCACTGAACAGAGCACATAGTGTGTCAGATCTTGTTTTGAACAAGACTCTCCTAGTCCCTGCTTTCCTGCACCTATCCAGTGCCACCATTCTCGTGCCGTCAGACCAACTCTTCTGGGGCCATGACCTGCAAAATCCTCAAAGCAAATGATGTTGGGAAACCCCATCCTATTCCTGCCCTTTATTTTGTGTTTTTTCTATATTTACCCCCTCTGTCCTGCTCCTGTGCTGCCCTGGGAGGGAATCATGTTCACGCTATCAGCCTCCACCTTTTCATGCCTGTGTCCCTCAAGAAGACTGATTTCAGCCCTATTTGATGTAACAGGAGTCCCCTGTGCTACCAACTCCAACCATGGCAGCGAGGGGATGGGCAGAGGGGATAATCTCCTGGTGCTGTCAGCCAGCGCTCAACCCTTATTAGCCATCAGAGAGTCCCAGGAAACCCTCCCATTGCCACAGACCTGCTGCTGTGCACACTCTCACCCGGGAACCATCCGTGCTTAACAAAACCTGCACAAGCGATGGGGCTCCACAGCTCAGACCCAGCCCGACCGAACCAGCCGGTACCTCACGTCACTCATCCCTTATCCCAACCTCAGGACGAACCCTGGGGACAACCCTCCCAGCCCGTAGCTCCTTCCCCAGCATCCCCCCTCACCTTTGTACTGGGGCGTGAATTGCCTCATGGCCAAGGGCAGCGACTCGTAGAAGCTCAGCTCCTGCGAGACCAAGGGCTTGCAGATCGTGTGCTCGTCGTACTTCATCATGCTCATGTGGCCGCCCACCTGATGGACAAAGGGCTCCAGGAGGACGGCGGTCCTGCTCTCGCTGGGGTCCAGGGGACTCTGCCCCACCATGGTGCCGGGTGAAAGGTGGAGGGGGGACTCACTCTCCTTTAGTAGCAGCGAAGAAGAATCAGAAGCGGAGTTTGGGACATACTGCGCCGGGCCAGTTAACACCCACTCTGGGTTTTCACCGATGGTATCTGCAGAACAGAGGGTATGAGCGTTGTGAGAAAGGGGCACGAGCCACCTCAAAGCCACCATCTGTGCCGTCATCCCGGCAGGGTGGGAGCACGGCCGGGGCCGGGTGTCGAGGGCGCAGCCGGGTGGGACGAGATCTTTAGGTGCCCAGGGGCTGGCAGGGACCCCTGGCCTGAAATGCAGAGTCTAGAAAAGACCCAATTTAGACCTGTTGGGAGCAAAAGAAACAGGGTGGAAATGATTGAGAAGAGCTATCAGGTTAATGCAGTGGCCTCGTCAAAGCAGCTGGATCAGGGCATTCCTTGGACTGGTAATTCCAGGTTATTAATATGCTGTATTAATGACACCCCTTGCTGTGAAACAGCCCCAGTTTGCCCTACAAGACAGTGTTAATGATGGCCTTAGTCTTTCCCAAGCTATGACATTCCTTGCAAAGGAGGTTTATTAATAAAGTCTCTGCAAGCTTATGTCCCCAGGCAGTCCCTTGCCTCTTAACACTGCTGGGGGGGGGGGGTTAGCAACATTTTCTGCACCTTCTGAAGAAACCTCGGTTTGGGATATTCCCTGTCATTTAACACCAGAGCATTAGCAGGAGCGATTCTTCCACTGTGCTAGGACGTGTCAAACCAGCACCAAGATGGTTCGCACCCAAGCGCCGGCTCCTCGAGCTCTCCAGCCCTGCCCTCTGCTACAGCCCAGAGGAGCATCCACCAGCAGATCCATCCATGATTCTAGTCCCCGAGAGAAATTCCTCCTTGATTTTGACAACAACAAGTTCTGGCTCTAAGGCAGTAAGGTAGGAAGAGCATGGACACGGACCACATCTGTGCAGCAGCACCCTGATTTCTCTTACAACAACACCCAGCAACACCCTCTCCTTCGCTTTATTTTATTCTTTGCTTGAAGCCCATGGATGGCTCTTGCGCTGGTGGACATCAGGCAAGGGAATCCCATGGCCACTGAGGAAGACAAAAAGGCAACTGAACTCATATTTATGCTGGGGAAGCAGTCCAGCTTCATACTACTGAGGCAGTAAAATCAGAGGAAGACATTCCAGACCCCAAACTAAAAGGGATGGGGGGAAAAAATCATCCTTTTGAGGACTGGTCCGTGTTCCTGCAGCCCTCAAAAAGGGGTGTGCAGACCCCTGGTTTGCCTGCCCCTGTTAGCATGGATGACTTTCTCCTTGTTCCTCCAATTTCACCACAGCTTGAGGAGTTTTTCATCCTATTTTTGCTAGCAAAAACCCAGTGCAGTAGATAATAACATCTTTGGAAGATCCATTTCTCTCTAACAAAGCCCCCAGGTTGTGTTAGTGGGTAAGCGACACCACCTCTGCCAACCCCAAGCCTTGCTGGGACCAAGGCAGCACCATCACCCCCTCCTTAACCAGGAGACAGTGAGTAGCAGAGGGATGGCGATGGTGGTCCCTCCCTGCTCACATCGGGAATAAACCTGTCAGGCTGCTCCCGGGTCTCTGCAAGCAAGGCAGGCTCAGCCTTTCCTCTGGTGCCAGCACTTCGACCCCAGCCTGGGAGCTTTAACCACTGAAATACAGCGTATTCCTCATCCTGCAACAAAGAGCCAGAGCTCTGCTGCTTAAATTTCCCCTTCACACTCCTCCTGCTGCAATTAAACCACCAAGCAAACAAGCACTCGGCGCAGGTGCCCGTTTTGTTTTTCGCCTGGAGGTGTGGGATGAAGTGGGTTGAAGGCAGAGAAGGGGGAGAAGAAACACTCCTACCTCCAAAACACACGGAGCAGCTCCTTCAACTTCCCCCAAGGTGTTTATTTTCACACACCCTCCCCATTTTTCTATTCTTTCCTCACCGCACTTTTTTGAGAGGAATTTCTACTCTACAATTACCAGCCTGTACCTGAAGGAACAAAGCCAGGCCACTTAGATGAGTGCTTTTCAGCCGGGGAAGAAAGCAGCTCTTCAGAGCCTTTCTGCAAGTTAATAAAAGCATTTAGCATTTTGTTAAGTTGTGGCAACTTTTAAAGAGGATTTCTCCCTTGAAAGCTGTAGGTTTGTTGTGTGGGGTTGTTTTATTTCCCTCCTCCCCTCTTAAAAAAAAAAAAATGGAGAAAAGCAAAAAGCGAGCGGATTTGTTATAACACATCTTTGGAGCAAAGAGTGCAATATGACTTCAATCCAGTATTTATTGCTTCAGAGACAGTCCAAGGCTGAAACTCGGCTGTCATGACACACAACTCTGGCAATCTTGGCATTGCAAAGAGAACTGGGGGGGAAATCCCCCCCAAATTTGATAAGACTCTTACTCTCTTCTCTTAAGCAAAACTCAGAGCAAGATTTGCAGTAAGAGAAAAAAAGGGGCTCTCTTCATTTAGTTTTTATTCTGAAGCAGCTTGTCCATTTGGAGCAGATAAATGTTACCGCAAACACTTGCTGAGCTGCTCTGAGCTCCTCTGAAACAAGACACTCTTGAAATAAATCACTTCTGCCGGCTCAAGTTGTCGCAAACACCAAAAGATATTTACGTCACTAAAAATACATGGAATTACAGATAAATCTATATCCTCAAAAACAAAACACCTTGAATATTTTCCCCTAGCTGAGGAAAAAAAAAAAAAAAAAGGCAACCCAGGCACTGCAGATGAAGATGAGTCAGAAAATATTGGGGCAGGAAAATACAGAGAACTCCCCTCTCCGGAAAAATATATCAAGATACTTTAAAACATCTACATCTCCCTGGTGACTGTCAGAACACAGCAGCTTCCCTCCCAGTGCATCACGGCAGCATCACTGGCCGGAGACAGACTTGAATTTCTAACGATCGTGTGTGTGTGTGTGTGTAACGCTGAGCTACGAGGAGCTGCCAGGCTGATCGAGACCAGCCAGACCACGGCCCCGCTGGCGGCACGAGCCAGGGCTGGCAGGGGCACCCATGGCCGGGGACCCTCACCCTCCGCCCCGCTCTCATTTAGGACCAAATGTCAAAAGAGTCTGAGCGAAACAAGTTATTTATTCCCATCTCTAAGCACAGCCAAAAGAAATCAAGCAGATTAAATTCGCTAATCTTTAATTAGTGCCTACTCCATCCCATCCCAAGCAGAAACGCAGACAGGCTCTGACATGCTGGGGGCGAAACGCAGACAGCCCGGCCCTAGGAGAAAGCTCATCCCTCATGAATAGCTGGGGTCCTCTGAGCAGAAATACTTTGGAATATCAAAAGGCAAAATCTCTTTTAAAAACAAGTGCTCTGTCAGCACAAAGGCGGGTTTCAAGCACTGTAGGGAGCTGCTCGTTTTGTTTTCCTTTGCTGAAAGGCAAGAAAATAACGTAGCTGTTAATTTGAAGAGACCTGTATGTCCACAGCTCTTGGTACTGGAGCTGACTGGGAATCAGAGCCAGCTCCTGCACCGAGCACCAGCCCAGCCCGAGAGCAAGGTGGGGGCAAAGCCCAGTTGCCCCATTTCCCTTCAGTCTTTGGCCTCATGCCTCCAAACTCTGCAACACCTCAGCCATCAGGAAAATCCTGCCATTTCCAGCTCAGCGCCCATCCCAGCGGGGCTTGAAGCAGACTCGGGCTCTTCACATGGACAAGCAGGAGGCTGCAACCCTCAATGAACCTTCAGATCTGCCTTTCCTGCTCTTCCCTTGACTACAGCCCAAGTCAGAAATAGTTGCAGAGCAGCACCATGCCGGGAGCAAAAAGCTCAGCTCTCAGCAAGAAGCCCAGCTCTAACCATCCTGCCATAAATCCTTACGTGCAGAAACCCTCAGCTCTTTTATCTTACTTTTCCTTTCCTGAAAGAAAATGATGTACGTAAAGTTGATGACTGGTCCCCGTGTCCCTCACGAAGAAGATGCAAAGATTCAGTTTGCTTCACTGAAGGATTTATTCGGCCACTTTGTGGGAAGCAGCAGGATTGATGGGGAGGGATGGGAGCCGCGTTATCTGGGGCTGGCAGGCTGCTGAGAGCCCCCTGCCCACCCCGGGGGGCTGGCACGGGCACCAGGAGATGGTGCGGGGTGACAGCGGGGCTGGCGAGGGCTGGGCTTTGTGGTGGCACATGGGAACGTGCCTTTGGACCATGGTAGCGAGCTTGGGGCTGCCAGCAGTGCTGTGGGATGGGGGGACACGGGGCCACCACATCCTGTGGGAAAGGGCAACAGTCCCGTCACTTCCCTGCCTGATTTCTGCCTTTCACACCACCAAACACCACCTGCCCTTTCGATGAGCATCCCCGCGCTTTCCAGCGATGCCACAGATGTGACAGAGAACTGAAAGCCACCAGGCTCATTTTTTGCAGACCCAGGGTTGCACCAGAGGTTCACACCAACCCCCCAAGGTGCCGGCTGTCCCCCTCACTCCCATCCTTCCCACAGGCCACAGCAGCGCTTGGAGCCTTCCTAATAATATCCCGCCCGCTCTCCAAAATCAAATGCTTGTTCATCCTGCCCGTATTCATCCTGCCCTGGAAGGCAGCCGGCGTGGATACAGAAGCCACCCTGGACCTCACCTGCTCTGTGGATGTGGCCGGTCGGGGCTCAGCGGCGAGCGTGGGCTCAGGGCTCTGCCGGGGCTGGGGCTCTCACTGCTTCCCGCTGTGGCTCGAGGATGAGAAGTGAAGGAGCGGGGGGAGCCCGCGGACATTTGGGCCATCACCTGACCGCTGCCGTGGGTGCTGGCAAGCGCCTGGTATGTCCGGCTGACAGCTGAGCGTTAAAGGGGGGAGAAGCACTCGGGTGTTAAAGGAAAACAAAGCTGCGTGTATGAGATGGTTACGGAAGGAGGGAGAAGGGCCAGCCTTGTGCAAGGCTTTCCAGAAAGTGTGCCCATGCCCCAGCTCCCTTATGCAATCATGTCTCTAGGAAAACAACTGTTGCTTTTTTCCGGTTTGTTTTCCACTTTACTGGCTGAAAAAGCCCCCCTGGCTCAGCCCCCCTGGTGTTTATCACCTCCCCACCAAGCAGGCTGGCAGGGAGGGAGATGGACATCAGCTTCCCCGAGCTCCCAGCAAACCAACCCACCAGTTTCCTTCCCACAGGGGCAACGGGCAAAGGGGCTGCAATTGCTGTGGGACAGACTGAATCATCAGACTTTTGGGAAAAAAAAAATGCTATTTATGGCAAGAGGGACAAGACTGAGGTTTGCCCCAAGCAAAGGGAGCGGATCAGGGAGCAGAGCCCGCAGCCACCCAGCCCCGAGCCTGCCAACAGCCTCGTGCAGGGAAAAACAACACCCCGGCACTTCGGGACCAGTGGCAGAATGGAAAAGTCCCAGGGAGTTTCCTGCCAGGGCCAAATTGTCTCCTCCAGTGAGTCAAGGACAGCGCGTGCCCCCCAGTCCCCTCCGGACACCCCTACCCCGGCATCCTCTCCAGTGCCTGCCAAGGGCAGGCGTGCTCTGGACACGCTGTGCCAGCCCCCTGCATCCCAACACAGAACCCATATATGATTTAGGCGACCCAGATACCCCCCAGGACAAGGAAGGGGTGCTGCCCGCTCTCATCCCCCAGTCCCGGGGGACCCAGACCAGTCCCCAGCAATAACTTGAGGACATTAGCAAATGGGGGCCCATGACTGGGGCCCCACAGGCTGTGATAGGGAAGGCGCTGGGAGGGCTTTGTGGCAAAACGGCAGGAGGTTGGGAAGAAAATCTTGCTGTTGAGATAACGATTGATGGATGTGGTAATTCTCGGTAACTGGAGGGGAGAAAACAGCCTCACGAAGACCAGAGGGATTGAATTGATGGTTGGGGGCAGAGGCCGAGATTAAAGACAAGGATGAAACAAAGGCCCTTATTCCCAAGCCCTGACTTTACTCTGCTTTATACTGGTATTTCAGTTCAGGAAAGTGTTGGGGTTTTTTTTTCTTTTAAATAAAGCGTGGTTTCTAAAAGAAAAAAGCTGACGTGGCCACGCTGCAAGGCCAGCCATGGTGAATCCCCCACCAACAACTTCTGAACCCCATTGGCCCATCCCAGCAATTTGCAATAGAACTGCCAAAAACTCAGGGTGTAAATCCCCCTGAGGTACCTCACCGCCTTCCAGTGATGGGGTGAAGCATCCCCCAGCCGTGATTCAGCTCTGCCTGGCTTTGCCTGCACCACAAAGGCCCTGGAGCAGCCAAAGGCTGGTGGAGACGATGGGTTGGGAGTAAAACAGCACAGCGTCATCCCTGAGCGCGTCCCCTCGGCCGAACAGCTGAGCTAGGGGGTTATCCTTAAACGTCACTGCTGGGGGGTGTGGGAAACTCTCGCTTGGTGACAGGTCCCTGGTGAGGGATGGGGGGGTTCGGTGGGTTTTGGTGCTGTTCAAGGGGTCGGCAGAGCGAGGAAGGGCCAGCCCAGGCCCAGGGCTGTGATCAGAGCCGGGAATGCCGGTGCAAACTTAGACCCAGCTGCTGCCTTCCCCATCCCACCCAGGCTGTGGTCACTGCCAGGCTGAGCACCAAAGCCCCGGCTCCCCTGGGCCAGGGGTAGAGGTGACCCAGCCTTTCAGCCAGCCAAGGGGGAGTGCTGCAGGCACCACCTGCCTCTCCTGCTGTCTGGAAGGGGCTCAGCGTCGCAGGACGGGGTGCCCGTGGGCCACAGCTCAGCGTCACGGATCATCCCAGCAGCAAGAACGTGCTGGTTCCCAGCATCTGCTTCCCCCTTCTCCTGTCCCGAGCCAGGCTGGTTTGGCATTTCCCTCGGGGACGGGGCAGGGCAGGGCAAGTCTCCAAGCCAGCTCCCCATCGCCGTGCTCCCCGTGAGCGTAGCGCGGTCAAGCAGCAGGGCCCAACATCCCTCTTCTGTCCTTCACAGGCTACAGCACATTGCTCAAAAGCCCCTGAAAAGAGAAGCCAAGCCCATAAGCAACCCCCAAACACGTCAGGCTTTGCATCTAATTATTACTGAGCTGGTAGGAGGGGCCAAGCCCAAGCTGAGGGGGTCGCTTGGGCTCAGTAAGAGGCAAGACCAAGCACCCAGGTTTGCCCTGTGGCAGCACGTGTCTGGCTCCAACAGCACGTCACCAGCACACACACCTTTCTCCACTGCCAAAGCCCGTCCTGACGGATATTGTGTGTATTTTTAACGCGTCTGTTAATCGGAGCAATCTCATTTTTATGTCAGGCATATCGCCGGGCTGGGAGATGTGTCCTTTGCAGTTACGGCTCCATTAAAACGAGCGCGCAGAGGCTGCCCGAGCTGGAGGCCGTGAGCGGCCGCGGGGTCCCCGCGCAGGTAGCCGGGCTGATTGCAGCTGCCGAACGGCCGCAGAGCCGCAGAGGCAATTACTCAGCCTCTTGTAAAGAGCAGAGCACTCTAACAGGAGAGCAACCCTGTCTCATATTAAAACTATGCTAATTAGGAACTAATTACAGGCACAAAGATATTATTACCCTTGGCTAGCCTGCAGGCTGCAGCCTTGGTGCCGACTCCAAACTTCTCCTGGGCCAGCGCAGACTTGGGGCAGGATGGACACGTTGTCAGTAATAAAAGCGGAGGCCAAGCTTCGAGTGAGCCAGGGCTGCCCGGTCCCCAGCTCCTGGGTAACCTCAGCACCGCTGCGCCTCATCCTGACGTGACCTGTGCAGGGCTCTTCTCATAGTAAAGGACTAAATTTATACCTGTGGGAGAGCTGGGATGAGCTGCCTGAGGATTGCCTTGGACATTGAAGAAAACCAACAAAAAGTACCGAGGACACAGAGGGAGCCAACACTGAACCCATTGTGCTGTGCCCATCCTTCCCCCTCCTGCACAGATTCCAACAGGGCAAGATTTTCCCCTTTCCACCTCCAAAGACTTTGGACCATCCTTAAGTCTTTGGTGGTTTATTCTCCCCTCTCTCCTCGCACAGGCAGTGGTGCCAGATGGGAGCTGGTGGCCCGGTGATGCCAGGACAAGCACCCCCAGGCCAGGTCGCTCCCTCACCCCGAGCCAGCCCTGGGGCCGGGAATGCCCTTGTGCTTCAGGTGGGTGCTGGAGCCTCACCTGCCGCTGGCAAACACGCGTAACCCCATCGAGGTGCCCTTGCTGCTGGTGGCACCTTGGGGAGCCCAGCTGGGAGCTGCTCTCCCGGGGGGAGCACGGGGACCTCCCAAGAGCCATTTCTGAGCTGTTTGACACGGAAGTGGCTCAGCTGCATCCTGCAAGGCCAGCAGCTCCTTGTCACCCTGAGGTATTTTCCTCTGCTGTTGTTGTTGTTTGGATGCCAAGAGTTGTTTTGGAGCTGGGGTGTAAACACTGAATATGGCCCTACAGCAGGTCGTTGCGAAGGGACAGGGGCAGGCCGTCTCCTCTATCAGCAGGGAGGTCAGCCGAGGCTCCGATGTCCTCCTGCCACCCAAGAACACGGCCCCTGAGAGCTGCCAGGAGCTGGGGATGGGGGAGCGTGGGGGCTCCTGTGGCACAGAACCCACGCTCTGCCCCTGGGCGAGGCAAGCTTGAAGCCAAGCCAGGTTTCCACAGCCCACTGGGGTCTCCTCATTTTGGAGACCCAGTTCAAAGACACCCGTGGGCTTCGCGTCAGACCTCAGCCACCTTACGGAAGCGTTCAATACAAAAACAATGGTGGTACTTTGAGGTCAGCACAAAGACCTGGTCCCCGTGCTGGAGCCTGCTCTGCAGCTGCGGGCGGCCCTCTGAGGTGGGGGGACAGGACTCACACCTCACACTCCGCCGTGGTGAGGGTCTGTTCATTAATGTGCACAAAAACCTTTTGCAAGACCTACGTGGGGGCTGTTCTTTAAAGGTTGAATGAAGTCACGGTGGAAATCCCAGGGCAGGCACTGGAGAGTGATTGCTTCGGACAGGGGCCGTGCTGGAGGGAGGCGCCTTTGGGCAGGACTCGCTGCCTGTGCTTTTTCGTCTTCGGTTCACGTTGATCTTTCCAGGAGAACTGGCACAGCGCCCTGACTCTGTGCCCCATAAATGAGGCACAGCATCAGCTGTCATGTCAGCAGGAGACAAAACATTTAATGTGAAAGGCTTTAAATGGAAGCAGGAAATGAAAAGATAAAAGGGCAAATTTTATTTTAGATTCCTTGTTGGTACATATTTTCCTTTCTGACAGTAAGGGGATGCGATGGCTTTATCAGCCCACCGTCGGAGAATTTATTTATAGAAACGCAATACTTTGCAAGAAAGTGGGAGAGGGACGTTAGCAACTCCGGTTGAGCGAATATAAGTTGTAAGATCAGGGCAGGAGAATGAAGAACTCAGCTATTCCCTCCTCTTTGAATGGCCCTGGGCTTCTGGGAAGACTGCTAGTACCACCAAAATTATCAATCCTGTTTGTAGAGAGCAAGCAGGAGCTCGGCAGTGAGCGTGGCATGGAACTAGTCTCCGCTCTCAAGATAGCAAATGAAAGGAGGGACACGGGGGAAGACTATCACAGAAAATATCATGGCGGCGTGGCTCAAAGCAAACATCCTCTGGCACGTGTAATTACACCAAACTGAAGACTATTTCCTAACCTTGAATATATTTCAGCTGTAACTTAGCAACCTAGACTGGGTAAAAGCATCTGAACAGGAATGCAGGTTCGGAGGAGAGATTTAGCCTTGCGTTGTCTTTTGTTCCCATACCTTAGCAACAACTCAACGCCAGGGAGGGGGCAGCCAGCTCCCACCGACTTCCACAGCAGCCACGGAGCCAACCTCCTCCTGTGCCAGTTGAAATGTCCCCCCTTGTCCTTCAGACCTACACTATGAGAGTAATTAAACCTTTCTCTAACCAAACATGAGTCAAGCATGTCCACAGAAGTTACGCAATGATGATTCATGGACCACTCGTGCCATGTCAGGAGACTTTGAAGTTGAAACTCGCGGAAGCACGTGTTCTGAGTCACTGGCACTCAGGTGAGAGAGGAAT